CTTCTCTATGGATAGAATAGAGAGTTTGGGCCCCTACCCACCACGCGAGCCCAGTGCTGATTGGTGGGTGCTAACGACTGCAGATGCAGCCGGCTTAACATAGTACATTTTTTTGGTCACCCATCCAATGACCGACCACTGCGAAAGTTGCTTAACTTCAACGATCGCAGCCGAACGCGTTAAACACTTGCGCCAATGAGCTCCTCGAAAAAAAAAACTTACCTAAAGATATCGCGTTTCATGATGATTAAAATAAACAGGACTTTATTGAGATTCATCAATTTATTAAGAAGTAGCTGTGCCCCGCTGTGTTACCCGCGGATTATTAGGGATATTTTCACGCAATAAAACTTAGCCTATGTTTTAATGCAGGGTGTCAGCTAACTCCATACCAAATTTCATTAAATTCGCTCCAGCAATTTAAACAAACATACACACAAACTAAAAAATTTCGCCATTATAATATTAGTGTGAATTCCCAAAAAATTGTCATTTTACACTTGTGGTAATCGTAGTAAAGTTTTTAACAAAATTACACACGTCTGAGAGAAAACTATGAACATTAACTAAATAACTGATAAGAAATATCAGACTAACTAAATTTTATATAAAAACTAGCGGCCCGCCCTCGCTTCGCTTCGGTGTAGAGCTGAAGTGTAAACTTCTTTTTTTGTTCTCAAGCTTGTATTATACACAATGACATTCATCTATGATTCTTCTTATACCTGCATGCAAAGTCTCAGCCCGATTGGTTTAAAATTGACAAAGTTTCATACAAACTTTCATTCCCTATTTTATCCCCTTGGGTAATTGATCGAAATCCTTATCGAATCTTAGCGGATGCCTACATTATAACATCTACCTGCATGCAGGGCCGTGCCTGGGTATATGGCCGCCTGCGTGCCAGTCTGTATGGCCGCCCGCAGGATAACATTAAAAAAAACTACTTTAATTTTTAATGTTTATTATTATACACAGGGCATCAAACCGGGAAAAAAATCAGTTTTTGGTTAACCGAAATCGAGAACGAAAAAAATATTGGTTTTGTTCCCAAAACCGGTTTTTGAAAAGAAAAACCGGCTAAAAACCGGTTTTATGAGATTTATATGTTTGGATGAAATTTAAGAAAAAAAATGCACAAAATAAACATTTTTTTATTTAAAATTTAAACAAAAATAATAACATGAAAAAAATTATGGTATTGGTTTTATAATCACAGACAAAATTATCAAACATAAAGAACAAGGAATAACCCTTAAATCTATACTAACATATTAGGATAACAAAGCTCAGTGGCCAATGGCAGATCTGGGCTGACTTGCAACTTGGGAGGTATACAAAATAGAATTAATTTACTTACTTTAATAATAACATGAAAAAAAGTAATTATGGTATTGGTATTATAATCACAGACAAAATTATCAAACATAAAGAACATAGGAATACGATAATTTAAAATCCTAGGTGTCGCTCAGTGACAATTTAAAATTATTTGATTTTAAAAAATCAAATCTTACGTATTATTTATTGATATTGAAAATAGTAAAGGTTTTTGGTTAATTAACCGGTTTCATAAAATTATTTCGGTTAGGTTACCGGTTAATTAGGGAAATCTTTCAATCTTTCAATTATCGCGATTGAAAGTGAAATTGCTGAATCTTCACGAAGCAATTATTAAATAAAGTACATATTAAAAGTTAATCCTACGGGATTTTTTACTGACAAAATCGTCAATTGCTTCGTGAATATTTAAAGATTCAGCAATTTCACTTTCAATCGCGATAATTGAAAGATTGCTCATACGTTCTTGCGTCATGGAAGTACGTAGGTAATTTTTTATGATTTTCAATTTATTACGGCGTTTAGAAGGTTAATGAAAACAAACCGATTGTATTTTTGCCCAGTAAACAACTTGTAACGATTTGGCCGCCTCTTAATTTCGGCCGCCTGCGTGCGGTGCACGCAATGAACGCCCGTCAGGCACGGCCCTGCCTGCATGCCAAATTTCAGCCCGATCCGTCCAGTGGTTTGGGCTGTGCGTTGATAGATCATTATGTCAGTCAGTCAGTCACCTTTGAGTTTTATATATATAGATTTAAAGTTTAAATCGCAACTTTATTCGAAAATGAGCAAATACTTAGCATTGTGTTTCTTGCTTACACAGTAAGTTAACAGTACTTTTGAATAAATTATTGCTAATTTAAATCATTATGAAGCGCACTTTTAGTATAGAATAGAATAATTCTTTATTGCAAAACTGTTACATTTAATAATACTTCTAGATGTTAGTGCACGCAATTGAACTAAACAGTTACCCTAATCGGGCATGCAATAGTAATTTTTACCAAACATTATTATTAAAATATTCATTTAGATTATAAAATGCATTATATATTAACCATTGCTTCAGGGACCTTACAAACTTATATTCAGGAAGTGACCGCAGATAAGGGGGTAACTTATTGTATATTCGTATGGCAGACATATAAGTACTTTTTTCAAAAATTGCTAGATTTGACCGAGGTAAATATAATTTGTCTTCACGTCTCATCGGTGTTATTCTAGCTCTCTTGTCAGAGATCTTTGGAAATTCAGACATATGACATCTTAAAAATTTACACACTTCTAATATATAAATACAGGCCAATGTTAAAATTTGTTTTTCTAAAAGAGGTTTTTGAAGATAAAGCTTTCATAGTTGTAAGGTTTATACTTTTTGAGAAAATCGTATCAGAGTTCCATTGTACTAGCGAGAGGGCCGGTTTGAATGTATGACTGGTTTAATTTGATTAAATAAATTTTGTTTGATAATAAATTATTTTTTGGGACTATTCTTGGTAGTAACTAAATACTGAATTCAAATCATTTTCACCACATAGGGCATACCTAGGGCTCCGGGCTGTCTTGGTTCGGGCTCAGTTGTAATGTAACGCTTGGTGATAATTATGTCCACTCAAATAAATCAAGAACCTTGATCACTTGGCTAGAGTTTCCATGTTCACATGATGTCTCTGGGCATCGAAGGGATAGGACCCTTTGTAGGACAGGCTGTGTATCCGTTGCCTGGCAATCGAACTGACTTCAATGTCGTCGGGATTTATCCACAATAAGCTCCCCAGGCAAATTGCTTCAAAGGTGGGGCAAGATTTATGAATAGCTCATACCCCAAGTCACTACTTCACTGTGTAGAAGCGGACTCCCCAATCAAATGAATAATAATATCCCTATATTTGTCTCCCTAACCTTCAGACCACTTGGCTTCTAATACTTCTTCCTCTAGTATATCTCCCAAAATTATTCTATCAAAATCTAGTGAAGAAAGGAAGACGACCTTTCCACAAACATAAAAACTTACTAGAACACGTAACGATATTAATTATTACCTCATTTCACAAACAGTAGCACTGAGAACTACTTCCGATGGAACAAAATGCACAATTCATAAGGTTTTAAATTAGTCTTGTTCAGTCGCTGAAATATGAGTAGGGCTTAATCCGCAAGATAAGTTGGGGCGTCAACTTGATCACTTAGCCACGGCTCAGCTGCTTGGCATGCATAATGAGATATCTTCCTTGAATGATAGTCTTTGTTCAAATGAAACAGTATCATGTCTTTTACGTATAAGAGAGGTTGAAAGAGATTATTACGGTTTAGTCCATCTGGTTTATTTGAGCTTAAATTTTACTTCCTTTGAAATCACCTGATGATATATACGAGTGTGATTGGCATTCAAAAACAAAATTCGTTCAAGATGATATGTTTCGCACTTACCACCCTCATCTACCTCTGATACTAATACCTCTATTCAGTGTCCCTTAGCAACAACTTTATGGCAAGAAGTATGCATGCATATGACTCGAAAGCTACTTCCCGAAATCGAATATATTTCAATAGTAGTATTTATTATGTGAAACAAACTATTATTACACCATTTTTTAATATGTTTTATTCATGATTCCGCTTTAGTGTAATTTAGATTTTTACTTCCTAGTTTGGTGTGGTCTATCATATAGCCATTTTATTGTTTTATTCATTACTAAGTTAAATTTTTCATTTATATTGCTATTGTTTGGATGTGAAATAAGTATAGAAATATCGTCTGCGAATAGAACACAGTGTTGTATTTATGATTCTTGGAAGGTCATTAGTGTAAATAAAAAAAAATAGACGTCCTACTCCACTTCCCTGTGGGATGGATGCGTTTATAATTTTTTATCAGAGCGAACTATTTAAAATTATTTTGTGTTATGTTTGTAATTATACTTACGTATTGTTCTCTATTACTCAAAAATGACTCAAACCGTTTATGGGCTACTCCACGTATACCTATTCCATACAATTTGTGAAGTAATATATTATAATGAACTTTTTCGTAAGCATTGGGAAGAGCATTGGGTCGATAATAGTTCTGGTTACATTATTCATTTTTCGGTTTAATTAGTCTTCTTTAATTTTTTAGGGCAAATTCCTCAGAAAAGGATTGATTTATTACTATTATAATATGCTAATATATTTCTTTATTATAACTCTATTTTTATTTATTTTCAGAGATTTTCCATATATATTCTAACATGAGACTTCTCAGCGTCCTTAAGACAAAAGTCCACAAACAAATCCCTATTCCCGAAAGATCCCAAAGCAATTTTAATATTTTTACAGAAAGTTCCCCGAATCGGGCCATAACCCTTTCTTGAATTCTGTATCTCATGTGACCTATCTTGGGACCAAAAGGATCACTCTAAATAGTAATCTCAAAGGTTTAGTAAATAATCTGCATAATTATTTATCAATTAAATTATTGCTTCCGTTGTGTGGGTTTAGTGAAGTGACTTTATTTTGAACGATAATTACTTTAAAGTAATAAGTTAAATAATTGGTAATATCTGACAAAGATATTGATAGTAAAATACTAATTACCGTAGAAATGAAGACCCTCGTGTTATTTCGTCATAATGATAATGGTGGCATAGCTGGTGTAATTGTTTAAGAAAAGATAGGAATGCATTTACATATATATTGCTCTTTATTTCTAATAATAAATATAACTTCTATTTGTTTCACATGTGTGTCATATTATCTACGCTCGTCAGCATCACGTTTCTATAGGATCTTCTCACCATCATATCGGTGTCGAGGTATGTCAGGTCGTCCCGCTTCATCACCATATCGGACATGTCCACGTCCTTTACTACATTTGACGTATTCATGTCTTTTCTGAAGATTAAGATATCGCTGAATTTCATGTTGTTGGTGTAGAACCTCGTAGGTTCAATATGCCTGTCAAACGGATACCCCAGAGGCATGGTGTCCACACACGTGGTCCACCGGCAAGCGTGGCGCTCCTTCATTATGTTGATGTCCAAGTTTTGTGCAATCCGACCGGAGCGTACCGGGCTGACGATGACGAACATCTGCATTTCCAGACCACCGCGAGTGCCCATAGGGAGCAGCAGTCTGTGAGGGAAGCCCATGCGAGTCTTCCACCACCAGCTGTCGACCATCTTGACGTCCATACTATCTACTGTGTCCACATTTTCCATTGCGGCGGCGCCGGCGCGGTTCCAAGCACGGCGAGTCCATGGTCTTTGCTGGATGACACCGTTCATCTCAATGGAGCTGCGCACAATGGTGTTCTTGCCGGTGTCCAGTTTATAGAGGAAGCTGTCAATTTCTACCATGTCGCGACGTCTGTCATTGAGCTGAATGAGGCGGCCCATGCAGTCGTATTTGGGACCGATGAAGACACGCACGATGGCGTCGGTGGCTTTGTCAGATACAACATTGATCGTGACCTTGAATGGATGGTGGTTGAGACGACGCATGCGCGCGACGTAGACCAAGTCAGAGCGTTTCTTCTGAACCTCGGCCTGGTCTAGGTATACCGCATTAGTGATGTCCACGTCGTAGTCATCCATGAAAGTCACAAGCTTATCAGTTGTCACTTGGTCAACCTTTACTCCAGGGAAGTTGAGCTCTTCGACTGTGTACGCAGGAAGTAAATTCTTGAACAGCACAAACGTTTCAGAGACGCGTTTTATCAACCTCCAGAAGACAGGATCACGAAGACAAGTGGTGTACATATCTAATGCGGTGGGGATGGAAGTGTACCTAAAAAATAAGAAATAAATTCTGAAACTTGACCGTCTAGCTGTTACGAATTGCATCATTGCATAATGATTTAAATTGAAATTTAAACATAATCATAGGACTTCACTTTATGCTGAATTTGTGTAAATATTTAATTTTCTATTTTTAGTTGTATTTTGGGAAAATAGAAATATCACCGGTATCCAACCGAACATTTACAGAAGTTGCCGGAACGAGTTTGGCAATTGATACCCTTGATATTATAGCCTATATTGAATATTATATCTGAAATATTTCAATTCTGTTAATTTAAACTTCTTGAATATCGATAAATGTGTCCCCACTTACTTGTCGACATTGTATTGGCCATAGGAGAGCATCTTCTTGAGTAAATTACCGATATGGATGACTTTAGCACTGTCCGGCTTGAGACCATATCCGCCAAGCAACATCCTGGCAAGGACTTCAATATCCTGTTCTTTATTGATCGTCACAACAGTGCCATCGCGCTAAAAAGAAAAACCATTATCATTCAATCGTTGAGTGTTTTTGCTCAAATAACAGAGAATAAATTTTATTATTTTACATACCAAATGAACACGTCCCTTGAGAATTGCCTCACGAATAACGCTTTCGATGTCATCTATGAGAATTTTGTCCTTAACATTGTTTTCAGTAACTACGGCTACATTGTTACGTCGCATCGGCATCTCTTCGCCATTGTGCATTCTTATTTTCGGCCAATAACCGGTCGCCAGAGGTTCGTTCCATACAAGCGGCTTGATGTCGCACATGTTCTTAGATAAAAGTTCCAATCTCAGCCTTGCCAACAGTTGCATGTGAGTATACATGAAGATCTCACCGCGACGTTCCTTGTTAACATTGTATACATCATCGGTCATCCAGTACGGGTAATTCATATGCAAATAATAGAAGTATGTGTTCAGGTCGATATCCTCTGTGAAATAGGAGATTCTGTCAAACTCGCTGAGAGTGTGGCGGACACCTTTGCGCCAATCGATGACAACGACGTTATTGTCCTTGACCTTGATACCGAAGTAGTCTCTGACAACGGGGTCTAAAGAAGCTTTGGTCATTTTCATCTGGAAGGCCTTGTTGATGACATTGCTGTCTACGAAGAAGTATGGGTAGATTTCGTAGGGAGCCGGGAGAACGATGCCATGGCAGTCGGGGCGGTGGAACGTGGCGACAGTGAGCGCATACACGAACATTCCACCGTTGATGCGCTCGCGCAGCCAGCAGGCGGTGCGCAGGAACACATCAAAGTCCTTTGCGAAGTAAAGTAGATGGAAAGTCGCAACTGCCTCTTCCAATTGTTTCTCATTGGTGTGGACGAACACTTCACCTCGGGGCAGCATACCCATCTTGTAGATATCTACGAAATTTTTTACTACTTCGACTTTCTGGAACCAGAGAATTATTTGAAAATTATTATTTGTCAACTGAGATAATTATTTAATAGCAACTGGCGGCCGCTTGCAACTTTAGTTTTTGTCAGAATTCCACAGGAAGCTGTAATTTTTCCGGGATAAAAAGTATCCTATATCTCAATCCAGTTCATAAACTATATTCGTACCAAATTTCATTCAAATCCGTTCAGTAGTTTTCGCGTGATTGAGTAACAAATATAGAAACATACAAACTTTCGTATTTAAAATATAAGTTGGATGCTAACGTTAAGTTTAGTTTTAAAACTTTTTAATTTTCCTGTAACTATTTTTAAAACTTGTACTGGTGTGCAGAAAAATCAGTTCACATTAACAAAGTGGTTTTATGTAGGTACCATCTTTCAATCTCTTCGTCTCTATAGGATACATATGTGTATATTGTTTTAAACTTTCACGGTCACTAACATTATAGATATTAACGGGGTTGTTACCATGTACCTTGTTTTTTTATGAGTCTCCGATATCCGATATCATGTACTCCGTGATCATGGCGCTTGCAACAGTGCCGAAATATCGGAGACTCATAAAAAACAAGGTACATGGTAACAATCCCGTTAATATCTTCTATAGGATACTTTTAAAAATTCTCGTCAATTTATTTCTTTACCTATTATTTCTAAATCAATAGGCCAATAAACCGGTTCTCAGCATTCGCGCTGGAGCGATCCATGTAAAAAAACCTCGGAGGAGGCGTATAATGAGAAGTGAGTGGAGTAGGCCTAATTTGATGATGGTGGTGATGTATCAGGGTCTTTACCCAGGCTTACCAGATATTTGTCGGCATTATCTTCGATCACATACTCCCGGGCGATATCGCGGATGTCCTCGTACATGGTGGGTTGCAAAATGTGGTTCAGCAGCTTCATCACAAATAACTCCTTCGTCTTCACGTCGAGATTCACTGGATGAACAATATTATATTTAGATTGATATAACCTGATCTTGTTACCACTACGATAGTTAGTTAGATGTATATAAAGCAAAAAATATATAAAAAGTCATTAACATATTTAACTATGACACGATCCTAAGGTGAAACGGGTCAGCAATAACACAATGGAGCGATATACATTATCATATCGGTTGAAATGTAAGGGTCGATCCACACCGGAATGGCAGCGGCCGGCAGCGTCGCGGTCATCCCAAAGGCGTGTGAAATAATTTTAAACTTTATTTACGCACTTAAAAGACCAGTTTTGACCGCCCAGACACCGCGGAACCTTTTCCAGTGATACTGGTCTTTATAAGTATGTTGATAAAGTTAAAAATTATTTCTCTCAGTGTGAGGCAGGCCGCTGCCATGCCGGTATGAATTGAGCCTAACTGTGACAAATGATTCTATCAGTTCAAGAAACGATTATAGGGGTACGTAATAAAATAACAGATGCCCTTGCTCAATGAGGTACAACCTAGTCCAGGTACAAAAAGGGTTTGTAATGGGATTCGTGGGTTAGAATCTTTCCCTCTTTTTCCAATATATTAGGAAATACAATTTTATTAAGAGGATTTATTTTTTGAGATAACATTTTAGCACAGTGTAACACTAATTCAATACAATTGTTTGCTTCGCACTTGCAGAAACCAAATTATTACTTAGACACATAATTATATATAAATAACTATCTAAAATAAATATTCGTGTACTTCAAAATTCAAAAAAAAATCAATATCGTTTATTCAGTCTAGGCTGTTACAAGCACTTGTGAATGTCGAAAAGCTACGCCACCGGTTCGCAAATCTACAGCGGGAGACCTTGTTCTGAGAAGAACCGGCAAGAAACTCAGCAAGGGCTGTTTTTTTTCTCCCTGTATTATATACAGAGTCGTCAATTTGAAAAATGACTTCAATATGAGATAACTCATGAAGTCACTTTCCATTGCAAATGTAAATGATAAAACAATTATGACTATAAAATGAAAAATATAAAAAAAAATGGGTGCGTGTACTTATGTAGGCGCGTGAGAAGTTATCCTTCTTTCGCATCGTTTAAAATTAGTTTTTAATTGCATGCAAATAATTAATAACAATAAATTAATAAAAAGTCTGGAAAAGGACACAGTGAATAAAGTTCAGTTTTAATTTGAAAAAATAAATAAATAATCAAAATATTCAATTAAAATCGCTACTGAATATAATTTATTAGAACATATGTGATTTGCACTTGTATGAAACTCAAACACGTATTCCGAATATACAAACTAGAAACATGTGGATAAATATTATAAATATGAATACCTATGACTGTTACTTTATTACAAAAAATAAAAATGTGGTTTTTGGTTCTACTACACCAATGGTCAAGAGATGGCGCTGTAGTCTCCTGAATCGCGCTTTGGTTCCGTTGTTCCAGATTAATAAATACTTTTGATATTATAAATATGAGTACCTATAACTGTTACTTTATTACAAAAAATAAAGATGTGGTTTTTGGTTCTACTACACCAATGGTCAGGAAATCGTGCTTTGGTTCCTTTGTTCCAGATTAATAAATACTTTTGATAGGCCTTCACAATGCAGTCGTTAGCACCCACTAAATAGAGATTCAATTTCTATTTTGTTGGTAGATTTTTTTAATGTGCGGTAAACACAAAAGTAACAGCATGAAGTTGCTGCAATGCTGTTAAAATTTTGTGTTACAGTGATGCGCGCGCATCTTAAAATTTCACTCTCATCATTTTTTCATAACGCGCCTAAAGAAGTATAACTTCAAAAAGATTTAAAAAAAAGTTTAGGAATGCCGTGTCCTACTGTTTAGACATAAAAGCAAATGTACGATCAAAGATAAATACAACGATTATTAGTACCCTACTCACTCATCACACAAATCAATATCATTCGCGGCCTTGTCTTTTCGAAACCAGAATCGGTCATCAAAATCATTAATATAAACTTCTAATCTACCACACTATAAGCCGGGTACGGATCATTTAGAACAACATGTAATGAAGAATTTTCCATTGGCCACAATTTAGTCCTTAGACGAACCTCTTTGAGAGCACGCAATGCGATTGGTGGCAAACAATATATGGTCCATCTACCTGATTACCATCACACGGTTCCCAACTTAGGGGTTTTGCCCCCAGATTTAGGGGCTAGAAGTGTTAAAACCGACTTTTGTAGGGGCTAGAATTTTTTGGGTCTTTTTTTAGGGGCTTTTATCGAAACTTGCAATTAAATCGAAAAACAAAGCGTGTGTTTTCTTTCAGTTTTGTGCGTAGAATGGAACGCACCACGGTATGAAACGACTAAACTGACTGTATGGCGGGTTGTTTCCTAAGGCTGTATGGACTAAAGTTAAAAAAACAGCTAAATAATATTTAACAGTCTGTCAGCTCATTTTCGTTTGAATGTCCTTTCGGAAACTGTATTTATTCAATAAAATAATTTACTGTAACTAATTAAGTAACGTTTTAATTTATGAGCAACGAAAGAATTTGGGTAATAAGTAGGTACTTAAAAAATTGTATATTTAGGGAAATTTAGGGGAATTTAAATAATACTTAGGGGTAAATTTTGGTAAGGGTTGGTAACACTGTACCATCAGCCACCGGTCCAGACTCTTGCGACACCAAAGTAACATTTCTGTCACATTCGGACAAGTATTTACGTACGAAATTGTTGCATTTTATGTCGGAAATGAATGAGACAAGATGGGATGATGATATTCGTAGGCTGGCTGGAGTGGGCTGGATGAGAGTAGCACAAAATGGGGAGCAGTGGCGTGCATTAGGGGAGACCTATGTCCGGCAGTGGACGAACATGGGTTGATGATGTCGGAAATAAGCTTTACTCGGCTTCTGTTCACTTCAACTTACCCAGGTTGTCTCTCTTGAGGACGACATCAGCCAAGTCGTCTTTGATTGCCGTGGCGGCCACCACGGCCCAGAAAGCTGCGAGCACAAACACCCTCATTCTGCCACCACTCTCGAATGCGTCTGCGTCTCTCGCAGTCACCGCGACCTTATATACATCACCTGTTTGTTTTTTCTCCGCCCTTATCTTTTGGGTGACCACCGATAACCCCAGTTTGTTACTTAGTAAGTATTATTGTTTAGCCAGATCGGAAGAACTTTCACTTATAATATTGACTGCTCCATCGATATTATTGACGATACAGATGCAGTAGCTGATTCGTCCGCTATCATCTTTACTTCCGGTTTAAAAAGTTTCTTAAGATGTTTTTTTAGGGTTCCGTGCCCAAAGGATAACAAACCGGCGAAGTGCGTGTCGTACCACGCGCAGTGTAGTGTTCCGTAGTTGCTCGTCGTCACCATAATATATTTTGAAAAGAGTATATTTTAAAGCAATTGCGTTCTTCTTAAGTCACTTTTAATGTTTTCTTATAAGGAATTTTTATTATGTCAGAAATTTTATGATACATAAGTTGAACGACAATTACTCTTAAACAAACATACAAAATTTGACATTGACATTTCGGTTTGCAAATTATTCGAATTCGATATTGGTTCGTGCTATGGGTACTGTTTTAACAGTTATAGTTGTCTTAAAAAATCATGAAAAGCACTACTACTATTATCATGAATTTTTCCAGGTTTTTCAAGCCAATAGATACGATACGATGCCCCACACGATGGACCCACACGATGAAAAAATAAAATCATCTTCAGATTACATATAGAGGAGCTAACCTGAAAAAAATACCATTTTGACAAAATAATTTATATACACATACATATCCCCACAAAATTACAGCTCTCTAGTGCTAACAGTCTCCAAGCAAAACTGGAGACGGACAGACAGTCGGGGCATGACGAAACTATGACATGACAGGACTACGGAAACCTAAAAACGGGACCCTATTACTAAGAGTCCGCTGTCCGTCTGTCTCTTTCACCAGGCTGTATCTTACGAACCGTGATTGCTATATAGTTGAAAGTTTCACAGATGATATATTTCTGTTACCGCTATAACAACAAATAGGTACTAAAAATAGAATAAAATAAACATTGAAGGAGGGCTCGCATACAACAAATATGTATTAGCCGTTTTTTGCTCTATATTAACAATGGTAACAGGTAAACACTTCAAAGAATATTTAGTTGTATATTCACTTTATAAATTTAGAGAATTTTAATTATGTGTGATAGCAGGAGCGAGTGGGGATTTTTTTCTAGCTGTGGAGATAAAATACATTTTGTTGTCTTTTGATGGTAGACCATATCGCGTATAAAATGAACAATCTTGAAAGTGTCTCCCTGAGTGCACTGTCAATAGATGACAGTAGCTCTGGAAAAAGCCAAAAATTAATACTACATAAAAAATATATGAATTTTGGGGTAAATGCGCAAAAACTAATATAATACAAAGCCATTTTTTTTCATTGATTTTAAACTTTTTTTCGGAAGACTGTCGAACATTTGGTAATTTGTATATCAATAAAATATCGGAATAGCATCATCAATTAAGGGGGAACCTAAGAGAGGGAGTACTTTCATCATCATCATCAGCCTATTAATGCCCCCACTGCTGGGGCACAGGCCTTCCCTATGGACCGCGAAGTTAGGTTTAGTTGAAACGAGGATTTTAATAATTTGTCCTTTAGTTTATGAAGTATTAAATCATTAGATTAAACTCCACGCACCGTCATAAAATTTACATTCTGCGAACCGGACATAACAGTATCCGGTAGTTCCGGCAATAAATTCAAACAGTTATTCTATTACAGTTGTAATTAACGATGAATTATGCCTCCACGATTTATTTATTGTGGGTGCAGAAAATGTATATATGAGTTCATATAAATGTGTTTAGCTTTTGAACTTAGGTTGTTAAATTGGAATTAATGACTGTATTCGTATTATTTAACTATAAGCACGTGGTCTAAGGGTAAGTAGGCTAATATCTAAAGAAAAGTTTTACTAGAAAAAAAAATCCACGCGGACCAGGCAGTGGACGGGACTCGAACCCGCACACTTCGCAATCCGGGCGAATGCACTGACCATTATGCTACCACGGCCCTAACAGTATAATGATTTAAACATCTAGCAGTTAAATGCTTAAAAATAAATAAAACATAAGTAGGCTTATGCTGAAAATCTATGCCGTTGCACATGTTGTCACAACATATACTGAGTAGTGGCCAGTTTGGTACAAAATCTCTGTATAATAATATAAGTTGTTTTTTTTGTATTTTATGGCAAATAATTGCTTTTATTATTATTATCTATCATATCTATCAAATTATATACATTTATCCGATAAAATATAAAGTGACCCTAAAAAAGTTTTTAGTAAATAAAGCTTATTATACATTAAATGAATATTTAAGTGATGCTGAAATTTAAATTATTATTATGTCCTTAACTTTATGAACAAGATTGATTAATATATTGTCTGACATTGAGATTATTATATTGTTTGACAATGATGATGTGAATTTGTTATAATTTTATATTATGCTCAATGAATGGAATAATTGTAATAAGTTTTTTTTTCTCGACATGTCAATTAATTTGCACACCGCATTGATATAGAATATAGGATGCTCTTTATCTCTGTATCACCATTTGTAACCATATTCTGCAAATAAAGATTATTATTATTATCTCTTTATTGTGTGACAGCTAATGTTTCATCGTACTTAATTGGCATAGTTATTGGCTTCAAAAGATTAATCACTAGGATCATGACCGCGCAGCGTTGCCAGTTGCCCGATCTTGGCGGGACGTCCCGATTTTAAATCAAAATTTAATGTCCCGCGCGGGACAGGCTCAATCCCGCTTTTCGGGAATAACTCGACCGTGCGTGCAGCGTACTGGGAAAGCGCGGGCGGGTGGCACATACAAGTGAGGACTGGCCGCCTGCCCGACGCGTAATGAAGATAAATATTCAATAACTTTTAATTATTTTAGTATTTGTTACTATGTACCGCTTTCAACGAAAGAATCCCGCTTTTTTCACTCAAAGAGTTTCTAAATCCCGTCTTGGCAAATAAAAGTCTGGCAACGCTGTGACCGCGTGACAAAATGTCAAACTGTGAGATTTCAATTATATTTAATGAATTTCCAAATGAAGTATTATTATAATACTAGCAAACCAGTGAACCAAATGTTCACCAAAACCTGTTTTAAAAAAATTGTATTTAATTAATTGAAAACTTCGGAGATTTTGTGTGGTTTCGTTTGAAATTCGTGATTTATCGAAAACCGGAAGTGCTACGTTACTCAAATCCGGTTCGTAGTCTTATCAGACTATTCTTAACTTATAACTTAAATATTCTCTTTATCTATCTCTTACGGTTTGGCCGCTGAAACAGCACCACAGACAGACGGACGGACTTGTCTAATAGATAAGAGATATTGCTCTTGAAAACAAAGTGATATTTTCATATTTTATTTCACGTCTCTGTGTGCTGAAGGTATTTATCGCATATCATGACTGTCCTACCATTGACCAATCTAAAATTTCATCCCGTATTTCATGTTCTCTTATCTTCACAAGTCATCTGTTCGGGTTGGCCAAGCCTAAAAGATGTTAAGCTATGATATATCACATAAGATTATAAGATTTAAAGACGTTCGTTTACGAAAATCTACCGTTCTGTAACATTTATACTACATTTTTAATTATATAACTGGTTTTTACTTACAATTTACACTGCGTAGAATTATTTCTGCTATAAATGAGTTCGGGTTTCATTTCTTACTCGAGAAATATGTAATTGATAATTCTTTTTTTGCCCTTTTGAAGTTAATAATTTTAAGGCCTATGTCTTAGGCTATTCTTCAATTTTTTTTTTTATTTAATAAATAAATAAATGTTTTCAACACTCACACCAACTAGCCTAGCCCCAAAGTACGCACTGTAGGCTTGTGTTATGGGATACTAGGGTAATGGATAGAATACTTTTATATATATGTATATTAATATAGAAATACATATTTATTCATATAGTTCGATTGGAGTACAAAACACTCTTAATTGTCAACAACATCCGCCCCCACCGGGACTCGAACCCCCCCCCCCCCCCCCCCCCTACTCGTAATGTCCTGGGTTCGTATCCCGGTAGGGCAAATGTTAGTATGACGTATACGAGCATTTTTCATCGATGTTATTTGTATTTATCCATAAAATATACTTATATATGTGTCAGTTTATGTATTCTATCCGTTACCCTAGTATCCGATAACACAAGGCTTACTCTGGGGCTTATTGATGTGAGTGTTGGAAATAAAATCTGCATAGATATAGGATACTATATCTATTTCTATGGTCTTTATGTACGAGTAAACCAACCTCCTAAAGTATGTTATAGGGTGGGATATTTTTCCCTTTGGGTGTAATAGGGAAATTGGTCCATTATCAAACACGCCCTGCAATAAATTTATTGATTGGTTGGATTGGGAATTCAATGGCGATTAAATTGTACAACGAGTTACCAAAGCATATAAGGCAGATAGACGAATACGATAAGTTTGTTACAACCTTAAATGATTACATTGTTAATAAATGTATGTAATTATGTCCTAACAGGACTCATGTGTTTGTACCTTATAATAATGTTAGACCTTGTTTACCACATGAAAAGCAATAAAATTTCTCATTTCTGAAATAGCCTTCGTATTATGTTAAGAGAGTGTAATGTTCTGAGTGAGTGTATTTAGCCACTTAACGTAATCCGTGCTCACTTCGTCCTTAATACAATAATTGTGTATTTTGGACTTTATTCATTATTTTGTAGTTTAATGAGTTTTAAACAGTCCTTTATTAATATAAATGTGTATTGACACACACACAAATCGACCGATTTACGCATAGATTTAATACACCCGTGTGAAGCCAGGACGGGCCGCTAGTGTCATGATAAGAGTGTAATGCCACGGTAATATTATATAGATAATATTACCGTGGTAATACTCTAGTTGTTACTAACCGGTGGCTGTGTCGGTGTCGGCCAATAGCATGCCGTGCGCTACCCACAGATAAAA